ATATTTTTTTTAAAGTTGGACACCCAAAGAAGCCACACCCCTAGAAATATTTTTTAGGTTCTGCAGACAGGGGCTAAACTGACCTGAATTTTTATGGCTCAAGACAGCCCTGATCAAGCACACTTTTCTGCCACCTCCAGCACCCCTACCAAAAGCTCTTACCACAAGGGTTCGCAAGCAGAGGGTTCCAGCTGGAGCACGGGGGTCCAAAGCAGCCACAAGATCCCATACTTTAATTTTCCTAGTAGTGAAAAAATAGACAAACACCATGGCTCTGTTAAAGAGAAAAGAGCAAGTGCTTGGAGAAAAAAATTAACTGTTAGTACAACTTAGCTAATATACCAGTTCAAGGAAAATACAGCAATTCTGCTCTTGAGACCTGGTTCTTGCATTTCCCCTTTGTAAAGCTTATAGAGCTTAATGGGAGTGAAAACATGCTGTCAACAATGTAAACCACTGAAAAAGCAGGTGGTAATAACTTACAGAAACATGTGAGAACGCAGACACCTAGTTTGTAATGGCAAATGGTCCAGAAGACATAACGACCAATGGGAAAGATTTTTCTTAACAGTGGTTCAGCTAAAAGAGGCTTCAGGTTGAGTCGGTCAGATATTCTTACAAGCTAAAGAACTGGACCAGACACATCAAATCACACTGACTTATTCAAAAAGATGAAAAAAGGCATACTTTGCAGCACGGTCCTGACTTACTAGCCACGAAAAGGTCCTCTTGGTATGACAGACAGAGTCTAATATTTATAAGGAAGATACAGCAAAGTGGGACATGAGACACTGAGACAGAGAGGAAGATACAGGGTATTGATGGCACTGACAGCCTCACCCATCATATGCCCCGCTGACTATCCTCTTGTTATCAAAGCGTATGCATCTCACCAACTCTTCATGGCCTTCCAGTACTCGTAAACATGCCCCACACTCGATATCCCACAGCCTGTAAGAGAGCAGGAAGAAGAACTAAGAATTTTTTTAATATCTGATTATTGAAAAGACACATTTGGTCTTTGTTTGTAGTTAATGGAAACTTGGAAACAAGTATGATGATGAAACAACAAAGAAGAAACAAACTATATTAATCACTCCTTTTCCTGCTGTTAAGTGAATACATGCTTTTCAATATGATCCTGTTATGTTACAGCATCACATGGGAAATGAGTCAGAGATCCAAAAATTTTATCAGTTGTGTCTAGTATCTACTGCTCTATTAACACAGGGTATCTCCCAGTTATCTTCACAGTAAGCCTCATAACTTCATTTTACTGAAGCTGATTTTTCACAAGGGTATCCTGCCTTGATTTTAAGATGTTAAGAGGGGGAGACTTAACCAATCCCCTTGGCAGCTTATTACAATTGGTAAAATCACCTTCACAGGGCACACAACCCTTTCTGTACCCCTACAAGCCTGTTTCTGATTTGGAAACTACCATCAGACAGATTAAGACACCAATACAGTGGTGAAAGTTACAAGAATTAACAAGCCCTTTTTATTTTTCATTTCTGCCACTGAAGGTATGTTTACTCTGTAATTTAGGCACCTTACACATAAGCTAAAATGGACACTCTATTATTTTGTAGTGCATTTTCTTCTTGCTCCCAAATAATTCCTGTAGCTCTTTGCTAACTGTTTCTAATAATCCAGTATTTTAAAAACATTCTGGCACCAAAACCAGCAAGAACTCCAGCAATGTGGTATTCTCTTAACTGTAAACATCCCAGAGTTTTGGGCTTTGTGAAGGATTTTTAGCATGGAGGATAAATTAAGATGAATTTTTACACTTACACACTGCCTTGGGAAATAGTTAAGAAATGCACGAAACAGTTACGAAGTAAGTCTATTAGCTTTCCATACTTTTGTCAGCTCTTTGACATGACTCCCAATTACCATGGACAAAGAAATATTATTTGCCTACAAGAACTGAAATTCTTTGACATGTATTGTATAGAAGTGTTCCACCTCTGGCTGAGACATGCTCTGCTCATGCAGGAGTCTTTTAACAGCAGTCTGAAAGAAAGCAGTCACAAGTGTTCTTAAATGCTCACTCAATTAGCGTTTGGACCGACAGGAACTTCACAGTAGTAAGAAATATGGGTAGTTTGTGGAATTTCTTTGGGTGACACATCTTGAAGCAGGACAGCTGCGAAGGGGTCAGGTCACTTTTTCTTGAGACAGACAAAGAAAGAGATAAACTGTCCCCACATATTTTCCTCCTGAGGTCCGCCAGGGAATAATCCAGATCCAGTGGATGTGTGCCCAAGGTTGGTGGATAATGATTGCAGCTGTCCTGCCACAACAAGCTGCTCTCACTCCGGACAACAGAGGAATAAACAGAACTCTTTTATCACTGTAGAACTGGGAAAAGATTTGTCTATGCACACATTTGATGCCAATGAGGAGCACAAAGTGATTCTTCGATCTGTGAATCTGATCTTTCAGGAATCCATGAAGATCCCAATAGTTTTCACACAAGTACCAGCACACCAGTCAAGGTCAGAGCAAGCAACTTCATGGCAAAGGTCAGCCAAAGGCACTCTGGCTGGTCAGAGAGCATTAAGTTTCTCAAGAACTGTAAAAAGGATGGACAATGCCAGAAATGAACTGGTGCAGAAAAGTCTGAAGAGCAATCTTGTGCCAGGAACTTTTGTGCCATGTGTTTCCATTCCTTGCCATCTCAATCCTGAGACTGCCAGCAGCTCTGGGAGGTTGCCTCACACTAATTCAGGCCTGTATTTTCAGGTCCCAGTTTGAGGTTTTACCTGAGTTTGAATGGGATTAGAGGAGAGGATCATGTCCCTAGTCATGAGGGGAATGGGCCTTGTACAAAAGGGATAACTGCTACGTAAGAGCAGAATCTCCCAGCAGAATTGCTGCCAAGGGTACCTCCCAGATTTGATAACCTTCTCAAATTTCTACTTCTTTAAATAGTCAAAGGAACAAATAGTAAAAGAACTACTCTTAAGGCTTGAGAACTAACTAAAAAAATTCACTATAAAGTGTATACAGTCAAAACCACTATGACTCTTCCTTCCTATAGCTTTGGGAGACCTTCTGGAAGTAGAGGGAGGTCTGCAATTACCTCAGCCTTTAATTCTCTTGAAGTCCTGGCAGAGCTAGAAGACATACAGAAGGCAGGTGAGCCTGAATCCCCAACTCCTAGAGAGAATGCCACTTAGATTCTAAACAGTCCAGTACAAGATCCCCATGTGTGCACACACTGGAGGTTGAATACACACATGCAAATCAACCACTGGTTTCAAAACTAACCCAAGATGATGTAGCCTGATTCTATTTTCTTGCTCTAAACTATCTTTTTTTTTTCTTTTATTTTCTATACCATGCTTGTCTGTAGCAATTAAGAACCCTGGCCCTAGAGGCTAAGATACTGAAGTAATTGGATTAAACTTGGAACAGTTTCTACCAGATGGAAATTGTCACAATGATAGTGATGCCTATGTAGCTATGTCCTCTTCCACTGGTAAAAGTTCTGGCCTAAAACAAAACCTAAAGCACTTTTATACCTGGAGTCTCCCTAAAGAAGAAAGATACTGATTTCTCCGCTACTTCACAAGTCCTTATGTTTGCAGTTGCAAAACTAGAGATCAGAGAGTCATCTTTTGGAAAAAAGTTTCCGTGCAACTGAGGAACAATGAACTTCAAATTCTGTATCAGAAGGCAGCCTCTTCTGAAGGCCAACACACATCATCTGGCATTTTACACTGGATTAAAGTCAAAAATATAAAGCACCAAGTCACCCACAAAGATGACTTAGTAACCTGCCCTTTCTTAATTACCCTTCTGCTGACTTGTGCTCTCAGCTAAAGGCTGGGAGAAAACAACGTGACCAGGTAAGTCTTGTGCGTTGCCCACACAGCTGCCAAACTTGGCTTCCATTAAGGTTCACTGCCAACATTCCTGAAATTCTAGCACAATTTATCTGTCAACTAGGGATTTTGTCCAATGTAAGCATAAAAGTAACTGTATTCCTCTTTAGCAGAATCACTATCTTGACATTTATTTTTATTAGCATTGCAAGTCATATATTAGATCCTTCCCAAACGGCTGTAATATTTAACTATTTCTTACTCTAATTCTGAGACCAAGTTTCATAGTACAACTGCAGAGGATCATTTTTTTTCCATTTGAAGTGCTGGAGTTCACACCATGTATAAGTGGTGCTACTCTTACAGAATGACAGAAATACTTTTTCCCCCGATCAAGAGACAGAAGTTCCAGCTCTCTTGCTCATGCTCTCAGGTAGCCCTATACTAAAATCTGGCACAATAACCTGGTGATGTCAACCAAAGGACCACCATTTTCCTACAGAACACAAAGCAGGGAGAGGCAGTGTGTTGCAAGCAAAGTCCACATGCAAAAAGTAGCATGAATCATTCTCACCAAAGAGAAAATATCACTGACAGGCAAAGGGAAGGGTTTCTGCTTACACTGTCCAGCTTTCAAGTTTTATCAGAAGGCACACAACTATCTAAAGCAATGACAAAGACAAAAATGAGGTTGTTCTTACTCCTGTTTGCATGACAGAGCCATCTCCCAATATCACGTACGCTACTGTTCAAGCTTGCTCCATACATCCCGAGATTAGTGGGCCATCCCTCTGCCACCAGCTGCAGGATGTAGGGAGAAATCCTGGCTCATGATACCAGAAGGAGTTAAATCTCAGATTGCAACTAGGGCAGCTGGAGAAGTGCAAAAGGCAGCAAACTGAACTTCATGCTCTAAACCAGCTGTTCCAAACTTAACCAGGCGCCAAGTACCACAAGAAGAGTTTGGCAAGAGCCCAGGAGGATTTCTGCAGAGGATTAAATGCCTCTTACTGCAAATCTGACCCCTTTAACTAGACACATAGCCCAAATAAAATATCACAAGAGGACATCACAGAAAGTGGTACTTGCCAGTTCTTTCATATACCAGAATTGTCAGAGCAATGGAACTTGTTGGTTAGTACAGAACTCTTCAGATACAAAGGATGAAAGACAACACAGTAGAACAGGCTTCTAATACCTATTTCCAGTAGTTCCCAATGTTCTATACCAAATAAAGCATATTTCAAAGATGACAAGAACTTCAGTTGCCTAACCTATGCACATCGCAAGGAATCAGAGAACAACATACTTGCACAGAACTCTGCAACGGGGAGTGTGTCTCTCACCTGATAGTATTATCTGAAGAGCCGCTCACTACTAGCCTGTCTCTGTACTGCAGACATGCAATGCCTCGTTTGTGGCCATTTAAGGTGCGCACAAATTCGCAGGTACTAGTGTTCCATACCTGTGACAGGAAGCGGGAAGAGAACCACACAGAGACAAAATTATTAAGAAGAGACTAACAAAAGCTGGTATCTGTATGATACATAGGTGCACCCAGAATGCTCTTAATTGAAGACGCGATCATTAAGACTGGAAAAATTACCCCCCTGATGACTTCCGACTACAGTCTGCAACTGTTAGCAGCTTGGGTCCCTGCAAACAGAAGATTTTTGCCATACTATATAAGAATTAGCTTCCAAAATCAGGTTTTAGCATTTTCGGGCTACAATTTAGTCTACACAGGATCTCAATTTTCCTCAGTTTTAATGTTGCAGATTGGGATCACAGCAGCAACACTTGACTCCCATCCACTCACCTTCACTTTTGCCCTCATGCTGCCCTCTGACAACTGCTCGAATGACTGATGCTGAAACAGATTATGAAAGTGGCCAAGTCGAAAAAGAACACAGAAAAAAACAAGTCCTTTTTCAACTATGTCTGTACCTGAATCTGATTTTCCATAAAGCTCTGTAAACAAGTTGTGCAAGCTCAACAGATGAGGGATGAGTGGAAACGAGCAGGAGGAAAAACACTGCTTCTAAAGGAAGATCTGTGTAATAACTGCAAAGGACCATCTTCCCTGTCTGGTCACTGTTCCTGGTAATTAAATACCCTGCTGCTGCAAAAAAAAAAAAAAAGCCTCTGAAACACCTCACCTTTATAGTTCTGTCACCTGACGCTGATACAATGTACTTGTCATCAAAGTCCACTACATTGACGGCAGCTCGATGCCCTACTAGAACCCTCCTCAGGGTGATGTCTGTTGGTGAAGCCATGTCCCACACAGCAATGGAACGGTCTTTGGAACATGTCACCATCATGCCGTTATTGAAGCGGAGGTGCAGTACTGCTTCGCAGTGGTGAATCAGTGTATTCAGCATCTCACCTGCGTTCACATCCCACACCCTGCAGTTTCAAATTTAAAACCAGATAGAAGAGAGTTAAAATGCACAGTGGATTGTCTGCACAGTGAGACGAGGACAGGGAAAGGTAATTGATTCTCTAGCAGTATTAGAGAAGTAAACACCACAAGTTATATCTACATCTATTAAATAGTTCACTAAAAGATGTTTAATACAAACCTGCTGATGATGCATACATTTAGACAGTCCAGCAGCCAAAAACCCTGCAATGCAGTTAACACCACAAAAATAACCCAGCAAGGAAAAAAGCATTCTTTAACTAAGGGAATTTAGTGCTGAGGAAAGGTATGAAACTGATGGTCTTTCAAGGCAGGAAACTGTTGTTTCCTGGTTGTGTCAGCCTACCACACAGTCCATTTCCAGTCATGGAGTACTTAAACATGACCTGCAGAGAAGCAAGTTCAGAGACGGGTTTAATTTTTGACCTCTCTCACAGGACTATCAACTCAAAGGATAATTTATACAGAAGTAGAAGACAAGACAATGCTTTTCAAACAAATACAAGTAACTGCCACAAGTTGCACTGTGAGTTGCATTCACCCTGCAGTACATCTGCTACACAGTTACATTCCAGGAATGTGCTGAATACCCAAATTAAGACAGAGCATTTATGTCAATTTAATGTTATTGGAACCAACTGGTTCAGCTGAAAGACAATTTCAGATGAAAAAAAGTTAGACAAAGGCTTCATACAGAACTTCTAGGACTTGAAATTCAGATTTTAAGCCTTAAAAATGTTTCTTTTGGGCCATTCTGTTGGCAAACTTCTTTTACCCTCCATAAGGAGACTTCTTTTGGCACTATCACAGCCGTATCCCAGACATACTACGTGAGAGCAGAAAATGGCTGTATTATCAGGCACATCAGACATTGTAGAAGTTAAAAAACTTTCCTCTGCCTATAAGGCAAGCAGTAAGAAAAGGCAAGATGTGAGAAAGGCTTCTAATGTCTCATTTTCTAACTTAAGGAGACTGAAGTGCATCAACTTATGGACTATAAAGAACAAAGAAAACTACTTTCCAATTACAAAATGCAAAGGAGAAAAGCCCAGAGCCTGAAGACCTGAGCTATTAGCATACAAGCAGTTTGCAGACACGGTTGCCAAACTGAACAGGAGCTGGAGACCTACTGACTTCTTTGGACAAGTGCATCCCTGAGATCTCAGAAGCATTAAGAGCCCATCTGTACTGCCTATTGGATGAAGCCCCTCTTCCAGAGGAGACCCAAGGATAAAAGTGATGCATCCTACGTGCCTCTGGGGTCTGTGCAAACGTTTATAGATACAGTGGGAAACAAAGCATTTCTGGGCAAGTAGCCAGTCTGCAATTTGTCCTGCCTGGCCTGATATGGAAGATGATAGTGCTTGTTACAAAAATCAGCCTCTCCTTTTGAGATCTGTTTAGAACAGTGCAGTTCCCACACCATCTCCAGGTAGGCAGTGTTGCTGAAATTCTGGATTCCTACTAATGATAGGACCTTAAAATCTAGCAGCACCACAGGACTGCACGCATCCCATGTAAGGAACTAAATTTAATGGTTATTAGCTTAACAGTGGTAGCTTACACGCAAACATGGTGATAACCATGAGGAGCTTGCAGCCATAGAAACACATGCTAATAGCTTCTGAAAAGGCCACTGACACAGCTTTTTGTTATCTGTAACTTCACTGCATGGACACTGTAGTCTGATATTAATAGAATATATAACAACATAGAGAAGACAGACTTGCTCCTTCAGATCCAAGTTCATACTGCAATTCACTAACTCATATGTGCCTGTGTTTACACTGTAGGTCTTAGACTCCCTAGGATGCTGTGATATGTCTAGTGGACTTCACATGTGCTCACCATGCACCACAAGTGCTGACTTGTGAATGAATGGAAAAAACCCATCATGCTGAAAGTAAATTGAAACTCACAGGAGATCCAGTCACACATGTTTAGTTAAAATTAAGTGACAATGGATGACTAAACCTTCAGAGTTGCTTTGAAGACTTCAACCAACTTTAAAAAAGTTATTCTGAAGGAGAATTTAAAACATTCCCAGGGAGTGTGAAAACATGCAAAACCTCGGTGAAATGCCAGGTGGCCTTCCTAAGTCATCTAGACCTTGACTGGCCTTTTCTTATGTTCTCATTTCTCCTTGACAGCCACTTGCATGGACATCCGATAAACAAGGACAGCACAATCCTGAACAAATATGCTGAACTACTCCATGGAACCAATTGAACTGCACACATTTAAGAAAAGATCATTTCTTGCAAGGCCAAAGGCAAACAGAAATCTTAGAGGCAAACAGAAAACTCCGAATCATGAGCACACACCTGACTGTTGAGTCCGAAGATCCAGTAATGATCACCCGTTCATCATACTGGAGGCACAGGACAGAACCCGTGTGTCCGGTGAGAATTCGCTTGCATTCCAAAGTATTCTTATCCCAGATCTAAGACAGCAAACATTCAAAACCAGACAGCTCAGCAAAGTTTTCATATTTCAGCACTTACTGGTTTGACTGGTCTGTTTTCTACTACAGTACATCATCCATAGTGCACTTAGAACATCTTTAGTGGCACCTGTAGAGTCTTCTACAGGCTCTCTGGTGCAATATCTTAACATCTTTGATATTACTGGCTTTACTATGAATATTGGTTTTCCCTTCTCACTAGGGTACAGAGCACAGTAATTACATAGCGTGTAAGTACTGATGGACAAAAACTCCGCTAGCAAAGTCTTTTTGTAAGAAAACAGGGTTTCTCTTGCCCCGTAAGAAAGGCATACATGCTGTGGAGGTGTGAGGCAGGGGAAGGAGAAGGGCAGGTTACCAGCAAGAGACTGAGTAGGTTATCACTGAAATTAGAACACTACTATTTATGACATAGACACTGCAAGCCATTAGTGTGCCATTTTGGAGCATTCTCACCTTAATAGTATTGTCGCGTAGGCCACTTACTATCTTCTGATCATCATACTGTAAACAATAAACCCCTTTGCTTGTCTCACTTCGGCAGTGGATCCTTTGTAAACTGTGCCTTCCACACCGCCAGTTTGACTCTATTGTCTTGAGAAGAGAGAGGAGACAAAAGAGAAATAAAACTAAAGTACAAAACTATCTCCCCTTTTTTTGTTCGAGAAGACAGCAGACACTTTTCTTCACACTTTTTCCTGCAATCAGGCCCATACAATGACATAACTGCTTTTTAGAAGTAACACACGTAATAAAACCAATTAAACAGACAAAAGCCTGGAAAACATATCATGGCTAAACTCATCTGTGTTATCTGGAATGGTGAGGGAGAAGTGACCTAAAAGCTTTTTTTTCTATTTCAGCTTTTAACTCCCTGTGACTCAATGACTAAACAACTAAAGAAAAAGTCTCAGCTGAGCTCTAGCTAAATGCTTGTACAAAGTTTTCACAACTGCCTGAGCACCGCTTTTGCCATTAGGAGACTACCAGAATGTGGCATTTTGCTCACACTTAAATACAAGGCAACCATGCTCAGCTGCTTCCTGTTTCCCTGGGTCTTAGGACTGCAGTCTTTAGCAATGTACTTTCTCCCTGGCTCAGCTGACGATATCTCCCCATAACATCTTTCAGGTCTCATGTGCACTGGGTGGAGCAAAGTACTGTGGAACAGAGAAAATCAAGATAGTACAGTGATGCTGTGACATCTGACGTGCAAGGTGTAGAGACTTCATCTGCAAACAGCTCAATGAACAATTCAACCCATCCCCTGTCTAAAGGAGCAGTGAAGCCTGGGACCTAATATAATTATCCCAGATCTACAAACTCTAGACAAATACAGACACACCAGATTCAATTAAATATTTAATTGGAATGAAATATTATCAGAATTCCAGCATCATAAATAAATCAGGGAGACTTAAAAAACAAACCCAACCAAACACTACCACATCTGGAAGCTGTTCCTTACCTCTATGTCCTGTATAATTTTGGGGTAAAGTGCTCTGTAGAAGGAGTTGGGTGGCGCAGTCCCATCAGGAGGTTTATTTTTAAATAGATATTGTCCCCTGAAAGACAAAGAACCCTCACTAAACACAAATCATGCTTCAGCATTTTGGAGAAAGGTCCTCCAGGCATTTTACAAATAGGTAACCACTGTTGAAAAGCACAGAGGGATTAATATTCAAACCTAATTTACTCAGTAAAATGGGGTGGTTCCTTGTAAGTTTTCCCTGCAACATGTCAATGTTGCATTTAAACACTGAAATACTTGTGAAAAACCTGTGCCTAGTCACTCAGGGAAAGGAAATATATTATTTGTTACGGACATGAGCCCATTTAACTCAATAGGAGGTAAGAATGGCTCATGCCTGCAATACGCATAACCCATATTAGAGGTCACCTTTAAAATAAAGTGTACAAACAAAATTTAAAAAGCCAAGGAACCCTCAAACTCACTATGCATTCAAGGCTAGCTTTTATCTGCATTAGCAGGAACATGTACCATTTTGGTACATGGACACTTTACTGCTCCTATTATATTTTGGTAAGCAACACTTCGTCTGTGGTGCCTCCCTCATTTCAACACTGATTTGGAATACTCACATCCCAAGCTAGATTTTTGCTACCAAAAAAAATTTGTAAAAGGCAATCACTACCTGCTGTGTAAAAAACTTTAACTCCTCATCCTGAAGTTAAGAAACCACCAAACACGGTGTGGAAGCTAGTAAACCCCACCATGGGCGTACTAACTGCTGTTCTGCCTGGCAACATTCCTCACAAAATGGAGAGAGGCACAAATGCCTCCGAGTGTAATCCTGGCATCAGAGGCACAGAGTTTACACTGGGCCAGCTCTTCACTTCTCTCTCCCTTGCTCCATTATGGCATAATTAATTGTTCAATACTTCCTTGTGCATTTCTTTCTTGTCTTGAAACTCACTTGAGTACATTAGCTGCCCTGATGTACCTGAACTAGGGAAATCACAGCAATGAACAGACATCTTCAGGTTCTAACGCAGTAGTAAACTACAGGAATGAACAAACAAAATAACAAATGCTGAATAAAAGAACTTTTGATAATTCTTTAAATAAAGTACTTTAAGTACGACTTTAGAGAAAGATGCTTTCCACTTTGGACAGAGCAATCATCTGAGTCTTCAAATACAGTGACCAGCAGCCACTCATATGGGGACAAATACATGCAAGGAAGTGGCAGACGGATTCAGGCAAACCGCTAACTAGATGCGTCTCTATTTACTGTGATCCAGTCTGGAAGCGCATTCAAGAAAATTAGAATGATTGTCCCAGGGAGACAAAAATTGTTTTGGAGACAGACAGAATACCTAAGACACATCCTGGAAGACCTGGTTTAGGTCTAAGAAATCTATATACATGCCTGTGTGCCTGAAAAGCTGTCGATTGCTTGCAACTTTACTAGCTGACCTAATACAATGTCTTGTTGCTACCTGTAAGCCCTGCCTTGCTGCATGTAGAGCTCGTTGTCTACAGTTCAGCTAAAGGATTGCTTGGAATTTCAGTGGCCATTTTGCTGTGGCTCTGGGATAAAAGGAACTATTTTTTGCTGGTTTTGATGACTGGCCAATTCAATCAAGTATTCAGATGGACACAATCATGCCCAGATTTTGGGCTTCTGTTTTGTATTTCTCTAAGTCTGTGTAACCCTTACTGCTCTCTGACAAGCTGTCAGTGAAGGCTACTGTGACTTCTGTTGTAAACCACGAGCTGCAAATGCTGAAATCAGGCAGCCCATGTGCAAAGCTAGGAGCTGTAAGCAAATAACACCAGTCATCTATCATCCTGAACTGTCCAGCTAGTCACCTCCTTGTATCATGCACAGCATTAGTGTTGATTATAAAGCTCTATATGGCAGAGATGCAACTACACTGGATATTTATTGTCTGCCTCTCTTAACTATCCCACCATGCCTGCAGTTGTATCTTCTACAGCTAAAAAGAAAGCAACCTGAAAGACAGGGCACAGCTTGCTCCTGTTGTGTCCAAGTAACCTCCAGGCCACAGTGTAAACCTGAAGAGGTGCAGTAATGGTGTGACTGTCCTTTGAGGTGAGAAGCAGGATTTTGCAACTGTTTTTTAGCAATGTCATCTGTCTGCAAGACTAGTAATCTGTGCTAATGTTATTTCTAAGAAGGAGCAACTTGAGAACTATCAGCTAAGATCTCTCACAAGATGCAGAGAATGGTAAAGTTCCACAGAACAGGAAAAGGACAAATGTAGCTCTTGCATTTTTTAAAAAAAGGGAAGAAGGTAGACCCAAGGAAATGGTGGGTCGTCCAACTCAACTTTGACAGCTTGGCGGTTCTAGAGCATGCAGTCCATCAGATGAGTGCCTGGAAGTTGACAGGGTGGACAAACAACACAAAACACTGATCAATCCAGAACACATCATGTCAAACTGACCTAATTTGCTCAAGGGTGGACACACAAATGGCTGGAAAGCAGAGTTTACTGATGGTGCGCTGTCAAACAGGACAGCAATTGGGATCTTGCATGGAGTCTGTCTTAGATGCGTCATTATTGAGCATTTTCATTAATGACAAAGAATGGGTAACGATGCTAAAGCTGTGAAAAGTGACAAGCACTTTGGAGGACAAGATTAAACTCATAATGCTTCTGACAAAATGGAGAAACACCAAGCAACAAATAGAATCTAATTCAATATGGACAAGTGCCAAGTTGACCACTTGGTAACAACATAAGCATGCAAGATGAGAAATAATGGATAAATAGAACTTCCACAGAAAGGATAATTAAAAGTTTTGTAACACGGTTAAAAAAGCACACATGTTCTACTGGAAAGCATGAAGTGGAGTGTCCTCCATACGGTATGCAAAGCAATGCTTCCCACACCACCAGACTCAAGTGATGCCCCAGTAGAAGTAAGATACCCAGTTGATTACACCGCCCTCCAAGAATGGAGCAGAGTAATTGAGGAGGGTCTAAACAGAGAAAACTAAGAATGACAAGAGGACAAGAAAATACAGGATTACGGCTGGTTAGTACATCCAATACCACCTTCCAACATGCAAAAGATTACTGCAAAAAGTAGAATGAGGAATTGGCCTATGTGTCTGTAGGCTAAATATAATGTGCCAAACCATAGCTAGGAAGACATCCTAGATTTTAGGAATATCTTTCTAACACTAAAGTTAGCGAAAACAGTGGAATTGCTTGCCCAGGCACAGCCTAAGGAATCTCCATCAGTGAAGGTTTTTAAGAACAAGTTCAACAAACATCTGCATCACTTAAAGAGAAAACTGGCTCTGCCTTTGGGAAACAGGAGGGTCTAAATAACCTCTCAAGGTCCTCTTCAGACTTACTGTGACCTCAACAATACAGAGTGAAAAAAGAAGTCCTGGAGAGAAAAAGGCACTAAAAGGGATGCAAAAGTTACCACTGTCATGCTTGTGTTATTTTACACTTTTTCCAAACATTACACTATTGGAAGCAGGTCAACACAGTATTTATTTTTAAAGCACATTTCATAATCCTGACTTACTAGCCTTTACTTCCTGAGACAAACAGTATAACAAAACTAACTGTAAAACAGGAGTCTTTGTTTGCAACTCTGTATCTTTTTCTTTTTAATAGCAACCAAAATGCCTGAGCTGTCACTTTTATCTTGTTTATGAAATATTCATACCCAGCTTCCTTTCTGCCAACATCCTAGGGACACCCTTGGAAAAGAAAATTATGTATTAAAGGACGAACCCCTGAGAGGGAAAGTTCTAATGAAATGTTAACAGAGCAGCTTCAAACTTGAGTGAGACCCACATTGTAGTAAGGCTATTCCAGATGATTATTAACTAATCTATCTGCATTTCTAAAGTCCCCTATTCTCCGTGGTACCTACCCTCAGCTTCCAGTTTGAAAATTAAACAGATATCCAATAGTGAAAATCTGCTGAGGAAAACAAACAGACCTATCAGGAAACAACTAATTCATAGTACATGCTGCTCCACTGCCACCCCTACAAAAGCTCTTCTGCTCTGAACTGCTGACTAGTTTAGTGTTCCCTTGGGGTGTACACAGCTTCTTAATTTGAACCAAATGACAGCTGGGTGTAAAAATCTCAGTCTGTAGACCTCACTTGTCACAGTGGGATAAGAGCGTGATCATATTAGGAAGGTGAGGAAAAAGCCCCCACATTGCCTGCATAGCCAAACGATGCCCTAACTCCGCAACCCATGAATTTTGATTTAAGCAACTGTCAGGTTTGGAACCAACACGATGTTTCAGGGTGCTAAATAACCCTCTTCAATCGTGGTTTCAAACACACAGCACCTACTGTCCTGAATGGGGGCAAAAGAGGTGAAGACGCAGTTCTCTCACCATCCTCTCCTCTCTGACAAGCCCCTCCACAAGGAGTCTGTCCTGACCATTCTCTCGATGAGCTTCTTCCACAGCATGCCGTCCGATGTCACCCGGTACCATTCCTTGCATACCAGCTCAGCAGCACACAATGATTTGGCATCCAGGTACGACAGAATGTTCTCAGCAATATGATCCAATCCCCGAGCTGGGGGAGGAAAAAAAAAAGATTATTTGCTGGGGAGACACAGAGTTTAAAACAACTCCTCTTGCTAGTACAAAGATACCCTCTCTTTCCATCTACTCTTCTGCATGCAGAGCTGGACCAAATGCACAGAAGAGCATTTGCAGCTAAGTTCAGGAGTGAACAGCGTTCTCCAACTTCCTTTGGATATAACACAACAAGTCATTAAAAATAATAAAGAATCCAAGAAGTCATTCCAATCCATTTCAATGGGTTTTAGCACTAGGGGGATATTCTATGGATGGCATTTCCAACTCAGCAACGCAGCCCCCAAAATCTCTCTATATTAGGACCATTTCTCATCTCACTGCTACAGCTGTTCTCGTGTTCCGACGGCTCAAAAGCTGTTTTTGCTAAAGCAGTAGCTTTTAAACGTAATGAAGAAAAAAATATATATTCCCAATGTGTGCCCTGAAGGGTAGTGGTACCTTTAGACATGGGGGAGGGAAAGATATGCAGATGCACAGAGAAGTGGGGAGGGAAGGAGAGGATGTGTAAGGAGAAAGTGAAGCAGGTTTGATAGTTTCATTTATCTTAGTGGGTGGAGGAAAAATATGCACCAAAATGGCATAATTTGCAAATATTTGCCACTGTGAATACCAGGACTGGCTTTGTTTCAACATGGCTGGAGTGAAACGTAAAGCAATTGCCTGGTTACCACCAAGCAGCTCAATGTAATCTGCGTAGCTGGGAGCCAGCGAAGGTTCTGTTAGGTTTCTTAATAGGATGGATGTATCCAGTAAAAATGTGCCCTTACCCACTCAAATTTAATCACCAGCAAGACTTGAGGAAAATAAGATGCCTTTTAAATGAGATATTACACAAAAACAGCTTCTCTTGGAGGCTGTTTGATTCCCAAGTGACACACAGCATCAAGAGATTATCTCACTTCACCGGTCAAACTTCAGAGGCTTTGTGCAAGTTCTAGTTTAGACCCTATCATCCCTCAGGCGTAATGTTCAGACCAACCAAAAAGGAAGCATGACAGATTGGTATTACATGCATCTTCCCTCTGGTTCACATTTGGGACAGAGTTAAATACATCTTTTCTTACTTTTAAAACAACAGCCTCAAAGACCAGGCCCTGCTTGTGACAGGGAAAGAAAAAGCAGCATATTTGTTGGTGTTGTTTTTACAGTCACATGTTCATACCTTTGCAAACACAAACTGGGTGCAACCAGCTGATTCTGGTTAGAGTTCATGAGACAAAAAAAGCCCAATCTTTGTTTTTGTTAACCGAAAGACCTCAAAATTATCTCCCAATGCACGAAAACAAGAAAACTCAGCAGGCCTCCTCTCTCTCCTTTCAAAAATCCTAAATTTACAATACACTTTGAGTGAGACAGTGCCCAGCATTTTATGCTTCCATTCATACAGTAGAAAAAGCACATGAATGATACCATGCACAACCACAGAGTGCAGAAAGAGGCTTGACATTTCTTATCTTTATAGATGCAAAATTAGATGTCAACCTCCAAAATAAAAGCATCAGCAGCCTTTATTATGTATTTAATCTGAAAAGATATATACAGCCACTATACAAAATTGTTTTAAAAAAGTGTTTGTAAATGTAGATTGACACTACAGCAAGTTGTGGAAAGAGAGGTACAATGTTTTAGTGAACGGGAACTGGACTTTGCAGGAATTCCACAATTTGGTAGGTCAGACATGGACATCATGTCCCCCTGCTTTCCCACCCCAACACCTGCAGCCCTGAGCTCTCTCGACTGGGTGGAAATGACATACTTGCTTCCCCAATCTGTGTTGCTTCCAATGGGCCCACATTCATAGATCCACCAGGACATTTACAAATGTTTGATTGTGTAATATCCATAAAGAGTGATGGCAAGAAATTATTTTACACAGGGAACAGATCAGTGGCTTAGAAAGCAGGGCTACACCACATAAACCGGGCACAGCAATGTTCCCCCACAAGTCTGCCTCTGAACCATCTGCCCTTTCTGGATCGTCAGTAGTTGCATTTTAGATCTTGCTGCAATGAGATGTTGTAACTACTTCCATGGCCGTAAGTCACCCTTTGCCACTGATCCTAGACCCTTCGCAGACAAGGAATACTAATGTTCTGGCCTCTTGTTCTCACATTTATGGTAATGAGAAGGGCAGAGCTATATTTGTCCTGGCTAAAAATTCAAGTTTATTATCATATTTCTTAGGACGAGCACAACTCACTGAGACATATATCTAACAAGGAATGGCTTCCTTAAAAAAGAGAAATCTCTGCTCACAAAAGTTTTTGCTGAATTGAAGTGAAACACGATTAGTCCTCCATACCAACAAGAATGCTTCAGTTATTTCACACATGAAACCCTTAAGAAAATTACTTTCCTCAAAAAAAATGTTAAACAGCTTGGAAATGCTAAGCAGAGACCTTATTATTCAGAAACAGAACGAAGTTAAGTAGACAGTTAAGCTGTATTTTTCAAACAACCTTAATTCTGTCCAAAGTACTGGGAAAATAATCTGAGCCAATTTTACTCTGCATACTAGTAAAGTGTGCTCATGATGTAAAACTACCTTTAATTCTGGTCATTCCTTGGGACAGTGCTAGGAGGACAGAGATAAGATGCCTCATGATTTTGAAGTATCTTTATTGTTTTATTTACTCAAGGGGGAGAGCAGGAGAGAGAATGAAGGAGTAAAAATGAAATCCGAATACTGAACATTTGAGAATTTCAGAAAGACAAAAAGTACTTAAGGAGTTTAGGGTTTTTTTGATTACGTGACTTAACTTGAAGTTTTAGGTGCATCACCTCTTCCTAGGCAGTTTCTTACCTTCCCCTTTCCCATTCCTCTGATGGAAAGCTGCCTATAACCAGGACATCTTGCATAGACTGCAGAGCCTGCACCAGTGTAATTGCTTGCCATTAATTTTCTCCCTTAGAGCTATATTCACTACGACATTGGCACTTTACAAATATGCCCATACATTATTTAAGCACACAGTTCCCACAACTATTCAAATACTCACATATTAGCTGCCTGATTCCTACCTGTTCTGCATTCTGAGCCAGTAAAACTAGCTGCTTCCTGGGAAACTCTGAAAAGTTATGCTATGGCTAGGAAATTTTGAATGCCTCTGAAAATAATATTTGCACAGAATTTTCAGAAAAAGGCCTGTAGGATGAAATCAAGCAAGTGCAAATGAGATGTGTCGGCTTGTCTTGATTGAGTTTTGTGGAGAAAGACCTGGAAAAACTGTGTATGCAACTATATGCATACTTTCACTTTAAAAGTTGGGAAACCAGTGCACTTTCAAAATGCTCTTATTTTCCTGAAACAGAACAGCTCCACAATTTATAATGCTGCTCTAAGTACACGAGATTATTGCCACTGGACTATTAAAAACTAACATAAAGCAGGTACTTAGCATAACTAAGATTTTTTTTTTTTTTAATGCTACAATAGCCATTTGATTACTGGGCACGATGACCTTAAAAATCCAGTGAGTCTACATATTTAATTTCATAGCAAAGCTCCTGCTGTGCCTTTATGCTTTGTACAATTCACAGTTAAACATGCTTTTTTCCATCTTTTAACCCTAGAAATTAAATTTCATGTTGGGAAATCCCTTCTGAAGAATGACCAAATGACTGGATTTAACAAATTGTCAGAGCTCAGCAGTTATCCAAAGGTATTCACAGAACAAGCTTTTGTCAAGAAACTCCCCTCTTCAACTAGATATTTAGAGACAACACTTGTAGTGCTTCTTGCTCAGGTCCACATCAAACTAAGGACCTATGCCATGGGAATGCTAACCTATTAACTATCTATTGAGGTACCATCTAATGGTTTGAAAAAGAGATTAAAGAGCCAGAAATTTGTGTGGTTCTGAATTTTACTGCTGTATTTATTTTATCTCCCACTGTCTCAGTTTTCCCATCTATAAGACAGGGTCAATACAAAACTGCATGTATACCACTTTACGTGTGCATTCTGAGAGATACATCCAATTCCACATGTGAGAACAGCTGGAACAATATTCTCAATGGAAAACACTACAGAGGTGCAAAAATTAGAACATTTCCATCCTTCAATCTTATGGCCTCCATTCTTTACTAGCAATAAACACATAATCAAACTGATGGTTCAGGAAGGTATTTTACTAGGAAAGAGAGACAAAAAAATCTAAGTAAGAAAAGGGAAAACTCAGCTGAGCAACCAAAACGAGTAGTAGTCTTAATTTTAAAAATTTTTATTATTCATGGATCATGGGCATTATGAGTACAACCACCTGCCCTGTGGCTTGCAACAACTGTCCTTAAGATACATATACGAGCTATCATTTACTCCTAGCCAAACTGTGTTAGATCATGCCCTGAGAGACAGTAGGAATACAAACTAAAATATTACCACAGTTCACACTGGCATAGAGCTTTTAATTCAAAAGCTATCATCTATTTTGCAAACTGACCCTAGAAGAGACCTCTCCAGCAGAGTAGGCCAGAGTGGAATAGTTTTCTGAAAGACAAGATGGGAGGAGCAAGCTCTCTCCGCCTGCAGAAATACCTGGCAGCGCAGTGATGAAGTCCCTCTGTAACATGGGTTTGAGGTATGAGTTTATATGTCCGTGCTGGTAGTGACACATCTGGGAGATGAGGTGCTCCACAAACTCCACCTGGTCAGACTCGGACCACTGTTCAAAATACTTGACACAGAGTTCCTTCTCCTTCTCATAGCTTGCGGACAGTTTTCTTTGCTTGGGCACAATCATGCTGGAAGTGCCATTGGCAAGTTTTGTCTGTAAACAGGAAGAAGAGAAAAACCGAAATCATACATAGGAAAAGAAGCTCACGTGGTTTCATGATTTTTGGGGGGGAAAAAGGAGAAGGAAAAAAGCACTCTGATACATAAAGTTGGCTGAAGCCATGTATCCCATTTGGTGCTGTCAGCCAGAGCGCGAGCTGCAGCCCTTGCAGGACAATGCACCAGCTCGTGCCAGAGCTGCGCACAAAGGACTCTGGTGAGACAGGAAACTGTGAGTGGCAATTTAACACAAACACAATTTTATTTACATCTTGCAGACAGTAAAATGCATTTGGATTCCTAATCTACAGTTACCAGTTACTTCAATGCACCAACAGAAAACTGCATTTGCATTCTGTGCTTTTTTCTAAAGAATAGACTGCTACTAAAATTCATAGGGAATGCATGAAATCGATGAGAAAAAAATGACAGTACTTCTTTTGAGTATAATACTATACTCAGAGAGCAAAGCCAGCTAAAACACACCCTCATATTCGATACATACTTCTTTCACAGAATAAAAGATTTTCATCTTTCTGAGCACTGTTAATATCTTGTCAGAAGGACGCAGCTCAAAGAAGAGTTTCAGGGACAAAACAAAACACTGACATTTCAATTTACTACTTGATAGCAAGATATAATTTCTGCTTTCTAAACGATTTAACGGGAAGAAAAGTGCACATTTTGCAATGCAAGGATATCCTTTGTCCAAGGAAGATTAACTGCTGGGAAATTTTTTTTTTCCCATGCTGGTCAAATAGTTTGTATTAACTGCTGAAAATGTGATTTTCTCTCTTCTGTTGCAATGGTTTAACACCAGACAGCATTATAGTAACAGTCAATATTATTACATCATTTTTATTTACAAAATACATTTAGAGGTTAATTATTAAATAATTAAAACAAATTACAGATATCAGAATATATAAAATATTGACTTAGGGATGCCACATTTCTGTTCTATGATGATAATTCCAGGCAACAACCTCACCAGGAGACTTTATTAACTTTAAGGGAAAAAACAAGTACCTAAATCTAGGTATAAATCTAGATATAAGGAAGAAATTCTTTACTGGGAGGGTGGTGAGGCACTGGAAGAGGTTGCCCAGGGAAGTTGTGGATGCCCCATCCCTGGAGGTGTTCAAGGCCAGGCTGGATGAGGCTTTGAGCAACCTGGGCTAGTGGAGGGTGTCCCTGCCCATGGCAGGGGGGTTGGAACTTGATGATCTGTAAGGTCCCTTCCAACCCAAACCATTCTCTGATTCTATGATTTCTCTGCAAAGATATCTAATGATCTAAAAGAAATGCATGGATTAACTGATTTTACAGGAAAAGAAAAAACAACAAAAAAGCCTTTTTTCATCAAATGCCAAAACAGTGGGTTATTTAGAAACCACAAAATCTAGTTACCAAAACTGGGTTTGGAATGCAGGAAGTCCTCATTTCTCAGGAGTAAATAATTCTTGTACTTCAATAACCCCCAACTCTGACAGCAATCCTGACTTCTGAATGCCAAAAACGTCATAATTTGAAAATCTACTCAACTAATCGCCATGTACATTTCATTTTCTAAAGAACATCGACCTAAATACTCTTTTCAGCATTTCCAGCAGAGCTGGACAGGCTCTCCTCTGGCAGAAAAAGACAGTAATTAGCTGTCATTTTTAACAAGCAGTTTCTTTTAATTCTGAATTATGGTTTGACTTAAGTTTCATTGAGAACACAGAACATGGAGATCACACCATCAGTGCTCAACTTCGCAGCTCAATGTTTTCAACTTTACTTTTAACCCCACTCCTCCCTGCAAATTTCTGTGTGTGTTCAGGAAGATCACACAAGACAAGGGCTACGACTGAGCTACACCGTCATGTAGTCATCACACAGACAGCACTGACTGCAAGCGAGTCACAGAGCCAGTACTGGGCTGCAGGAAAGAAATACTCTCTCTTGGGCCAACTTTTTATATAAAGAAATCTCTAAAAGGACTGTGGGCATAAAGTCCTAGGTGTGACAGGCTGGAGTTTTCCTAGTACAGTCCACAGCAGGCAACAGCCTGGCAAAAAATGATTACCAGTGGACTGCACTGAACATCAGTCTTCAGGTATTCTGGTAATTTTTGCTGTGGTTAAGCTGTCTGCAAAACAGACACCCCTGAAAAAATGCTGGATTAAGACAGTGGAGAGATGTTGTATTCTACAAGCTTTATTGTAATTTCATCTCTTGTTTTGTTTGCTTTGCGTTTCACAAATGGCTGTCTCTGCAACACATTTTTTAAAAACCTGTACCTATACCTTTGCCTTTTAATCTGAGAGACTGTGAAGTCTGACTAATATCTGAGCTGGAGTGGAGTGGACAGCTGCTGTGCAAAGACCACAAAAGAGGACACCCCTTTCATGGGGTGGTACGACATTCTGGCCTTTCCTTGCCTCCTGAGCATCCTTCTCCCAGAAGCCTTCAGCTCCCCAGTTGCCTCTAAAACATCGTTTTGGGGTATCAAACAGCAGCTGCAACATCTGCAAAAAACAAGTAATGGCTTATGTATGTACAAACAGATGGCTTAGATGGGACAAAACAACTCATTCTGCCTGGATCCCAAGTGAATAAAGGCCTCTTGGGGAATAATGAGTAAATGTAAAGAGTCCATTGACCAACACTAGTAACAGCTCTGGGAGTCAAACTCCAAGTTTACATAGTGGTTCCGCTAAGAAAAGCACTATACATGTTACAGCGCTTATGTCCAAATTAGTGGACAGGGGAACACTGTACTTTTTAGGTTCATGTGCATACTCGGGCTGCATTCTGACACTGTCAACTTGAGACCTGGTTTGCACCCTTGCCTGCTCTGGTTTCCCATCAAAAGGAGTGAGGGCAAGCCCAGAGGTAGCCATGGTGTGCCCAGCAGGTCCTGTGGTCTCTGCAAGCAGGGAACCAGGAGGACAGGGCAGGTCACAAACACACCAGTTCTGCAGAGTAGAGACAGACTAATTCACAGGGCTCCCAAGTCACTGAATCACAATACATGCTGACATGACTCCCCAGACTCTCTGTAGCTACAGTTTAGAACAAAATTCCTGAATTTCAGTTTAAAGATTCCTGAAAATCCACTGGGGGTGCAGTGAGAAAGGCCTTTTATTAAAAAAAGCCAACAACAAAACAACATCAAGCATCTGTATTATTAAAGCATTGGGGCGGTTACTACCAGTAAGAGAATTGATTTGCTTCCTCAGAAACCCTGATGACTCAACCATTTTGATCAACCGCCTCAAGTTCATGACAAACCATCTTAGAACAATATCAGCAACTATTTCCTGGAGCACACAATTGTCTACAGCCTCTTCCCTATCCTGGTACAATAACCAGGTTACCAGAAAACTACTGCTAACTCTGAATAAAGCTTTTCTGACTCCCCTTTCACAAACCCCTATAAGTGAGGGCTGAGAGGGGCCCCAGCTGGCTCTGGGCACAGCAACTCATCTGGAGGAGCAGCACAGGTGTCCTCCTACACCGGTGTGTCTGAGCTAGGACGCTGTGCCAGGAAACCCAGGGGACTGAGCGCCTCAGCTTGGTACTAGCTCAGGGATCTACGTATTATGCTCCATTGCAGCCCATAATTACAAGACCATTTCTCCAATGGCTACATTTAACACAAAGCACATTTGTATGCCCAGTGAAGTAGAAGAGGACTAATATATGAAAGGACTTTAATCTAAATAATGGCTTGCAACTATAGAAAGGTGCATTATTTCAACACAGATAAATAAGGTCTGGATAAATCTACTGCTCTGCATATAAAACAAAACAGCCATGGTATATCACACCTGCAACCCATGTATGACAACCAAGGTTACTTTTGTTTTGGTTCAGTATAGGAACCAAGGATTCTCCTAAAGCACAGAAGAAACAAATAAAGAACAGTTCTCTGATTCTAGTATAGGTATAGTGTTTCCCCATCCATAAGAGGGGTCACAACTTTTGTATAAACCCCAAACCACCATGTCCTCTAATCATTGCAGAGGACTTTGTCAAGGCACTTTTCACAGCATGGATGAACTCAGATTACATGTTTCTTAATGTAAGAAAACAGCTCAAAGTCAAAGAAAAAGAGAAGCTGTTTCCTGGAATATCGAGAATGGCTTTAAATGAACCCAGCAAGGTTTGGAACCTTCTGGACCTTCAAGACATCTTCATGCTGGAGCTCTGAAAAGACTGAAAGCTTAGACCATCACTGCAAATTTCCCACAGTTTCTCCCTAGACAAAAGGAAGGGACTTGCCTTCCATGTTCCAGTATCGACAGGTCATACTGTGCTTCTCTCCTCCTTCCCAGACCCACTGGGACTACAGGCTCTGCCACAGACAGATGTCTTCTACTGCTTATCTGCAGCCACGGTATTTCACCTCCAACTCCACTGTATGCACTGCCAGCTGCGGTTAAGTCAGTGATCTAGGCAGAGCCACCTTAACAGGAATTTTGGACGGGTCTTAGTGAAGGGGAGGAAAAAAGAGGACATAATGTTTAATTATAAGAAATGATTGAAATAGGCACAGACATACCCCGGGTGCCTCTGCACTGCAGCAAGCTCTAAACTTGTTATCGTTAATGGTTTAAATTTCACTGTGCTAATCATTTCAGGACACAAGCCTTTCTTGATAATCTAATGAATTATTCCAACATCCTTCAGCAAAAAAAATCCTCCATGACAGCACTAATTACAAGACGTTTTCCCAGTGCTTATGTAAAATATGACAGAGCAGCAGCTTAGGGAATTGCAGAAAACTGCTTCTAATTTCCACTGAGAAACTGACAAACACCTCTCTTTCATCTCTCCCAGCTCTCAAGTAAGATTTAACTTTCTCATTTAGTTAATTACCGAGTGAGGATCATCATTTTCCCGGATCGGAGCGGCACAGAGCCTTTATCGTGTTAACTTGTGAACTTGATCGATGGCTGCTGCTAAAACTTAATAACTTCACCCCCTGGCAAATTGTAAGATAAA